CATCACAATCAACATCATCAACATCAATATCGAAACACATTCCCCTATTCAATATTGCAACATTCTTGATTAAATATGAAAGCTTTTCTTCATTCAGTTTTTCGTATGAAATGATTTGGTAAAAAAAAGCATTCATTTTCTATAAACAAATTTAATTGTTCTATAGTAGTTAGATTTTGTTACAATACCATCTAAAATGTCCCTCTTCTTAGATACAAGTTATTCTAAATGCGTAACAGTTGTTGTATCTTCTGTTGGTGATGTATATGGTGTTGATGATGCTTGTGGCGGTCGTAGTGTTGTCACAGCTGCTCCTGTTGCTGCTGTGTGGTCATTGTCAATTTCATCCTCATCAGCATTATCGCTTTTTTTTTGGCATTACCTTTTTACTTTTACCACAACATACATTAATCTTTGTAGGTCGTTGTTGATGAAGAAAAGATGAAACAAAAGTCCATCAATGATCAAAGGCTAGCTCATGTGGCGACAGTCTGTGCAAAATATAAAGCCGATGAAAAGTTCAGGTACTTATATTTTGTATAAAAAAACTAAATCTAGGAAAGGGGGGTATCTCAGAAGCAATGGAAACAGTCTGAACTGAAAAAGTTGCAGTTTTGGTGTGATAGTTTGCTACGAGATAGTTCAGAAAGTACAGCATAGTTTCTTTATAATAAACAATTAGAGAATTTGAACTCCTACGGATGATTATCAGTAAGTAAAGTGAAAAAAAATAAAGTGGGGACAGTTCATCAAAATGAGTTGATGTTTACAGAAAGGAATTTGAACGGAAGGTTTTGGTTTTGAGCAACCGGCAGCACTACAAATAAATAGTTAGGTCGACCATACACCCTAAAAAGCTGTAGGGTAAATTGTTGGAGACTGTAAACTTTGTGAAATCTAACGACCAAGCTTCCATTAATCGGTAGTAGACTGTGTTGCAGCTAGAATTAACCAATCCTATTCTAATTGTTTCTGTAGCGAATCATTTTCGTGGAAAAACGTATGATCTAATCATATTTTGCTAATATTTACATGTAAATATTCAGGGAACAAATTTATTTCGAAATAACACATAACAAAAGGTTTTGGCCCAAGTTCTTACAACATTAGCGATCGGCCCTCCCCTGACAAAACATATGAAAGTAGATCTTTAATTTTATTAAAATCATTTGATAATGTAATTTTGGAATCAATTTGAATAATGTTATAGTATAAACGTATGGATAAATATGAAAAAATTGTAACTTTTTCTTCTTTCCCTCGCAGAAACATGAAAATGACTGGGGAGGTTATAGCAACACCTGATAAATCTTTCATCTATTGTGATATACCAAAGGTAGGGTGCACTCACTGGAAGCAAATATTCCGATATATGACCCATGATTATGAGGGTAATGTGGATAGTCCAGAAGAAATTCCAAGAATTTACGCCCATTTTGGACCTTGGAATAAGACCAGTTTGATCAAACTGGACAACAACTCAACGGTGAGTGAACTAAACAGTCGTGGGTTTAAATTCATGATGTCACGTGATCCATATGAACGGTTATGGTCCGGATATTTGGATAAATTATTCCTGCCAGATTTCTGGTGGTGGTTAGGAACAAAGATGGTCTCAGAAGTGCGCCCTGACTCAGACCAGCTTTCAAAGAAATGTGGTCATGACGTCACGTTCAGTGAATTTTTAGAATTCACTGCTATCCATTTACGTCAAGGAAAGCACGTGGACATGCACTTTGAGCCAATGCATAGACGATGTAATCCTTGCCAGTTGAATTTTCATGTAATCGGTAAACTTGAAACATTTTCTCCAGATTCAAAACTTATTCTTGACAAAGTCAAAATTAGACATCGATCAAAGAGGAGTGTTTCTACTGATCGATCATTAGAAGAAATCAAAATGTTAACAAGGTATAATTTTGACATACAGAATCGGTTAACATCATTGGGTAAGAAAAAAGAATGTTATAATCAAGTAGAAATTGCATACAGACTTTGGAAAACGTTTCAATTTAACGGCTATATAGGTGATGAGATTGAATTTCCCGAAGAGGAAATAGCTAATATACAGGGAAGAGACCAAATTAAAGAAGCCCTGTTGAATAAATTCATAGCAATAAGGAAGGAAGCATCACGTGATACTTTGAAGAAATGGAAAAAGCAGAGGAAAGCATACGTTGAAAAGGCGTATGAAAATATACCAAGACATATTGTGGAAGCCATCAGAGATGAATATATAAAAGATTTTGAATTATTCCAATATGAAATAGAACCGGACTATATTTTTCGACGATGACCACTTATCGTGAAGTGGTTTGAGTACTACGGACTGTGCAAATTTAAGGTGATCGCCTAATTCTGAACTTATGTTCAAAAGAGGTATAGTTATTTTGGAAAATATTAAGAATTTGTGGAACGTGCTGGATGAGTGCGTTAGTGAGAGAATTAGCAAACTTTGAATGATGAAAAAAATGACTTATAAATTATCATTTGTGTCTTTCTAATATTGGTATTGGATATGACGGTTTGTGTTTAAATGTTGTTTATTTATGTAATAAATGTACATGGTAAAATAAACAAAGCATTCTTACGGATGAATGTCTGCAATAAATAATTTTCCTGGCAGGTATTTTCATTATATTATAAATCTATGTTTTTGGTTTGGGTTGTATCGGAAAGTAATAAATTTAGCACTTGGCATATTACGAGTATCTGATTGTTTGTCCCTTGGTGATGAGAGGAAAAATTATATTTGTTATATTTTTATGTTAACAAAGCTGTGACGGGGTTACGTTCTGTAGACGTCGCCTATGCCTTGTTGATCTTTGTATTTATTGTTTCTCTTACTTCGATTTAAAGGCTTTCCATGAATGAAATAAAATGCGTGCTCTCTAAGTTTGTTATTATATAGTTGTTTTACCAGTGTTAAATGGACAAAAAGATATATACTGTAAAATACATGTATTTTAAAGTGACTTTTCAACTTGTACATAAAGCCGCCGCCGAAAGTAAAACGACGCCAGCACGATGCTCAACGTTAAGAAAGCGTTATACTAGTAATTGAAATTGCCAAAAACAATATTCAAAGTTGGATTCATTTTCTGATAAATCATTTGATTATTTGTACCAGTTAACATCTGTATTTTTTGTCAATAAGAGAGAAACGAATAAACATGCTTTAACTTTATGCTTTAGGTTTTTGATAGAATTATTGAGTGATTGTAGTTCTTCTAAATATTCATTGAGTTTCATATATGCAAGTCTCCAGGGATGTAAACAATTTTACAAAATTGCATAAGAATGAATATGTTGATGGTTTAAAATTTCAAATATATTAAAAATACACTAGTGAGAAATAGAATGAATAAAAAAAACCGTCCAAAACGGCAAAATTGAAAATTTGGCAGGCTCAGTTTTTGTTTGAGTTTGTTCATGGACGGTGCAGGAAAAGTGCAAGCTGCCGTCCACGTTTCCCTTGCCCCAGCACCGGCTTAAGCAGAATGCAATATTTTAACTAAAGTGGTAAATTTTGAATTTAGAAAGAGCAAGTAGCACTGTGTGCATTCATTATGTAACATTCACCATACACTCAGTTTGCTTCTTTTATCGCCAAAATTTCTGCATCGGTTCTACTTATTAAAGTTCAATTTCCGCATTTTGACATGTTTTAATTAATTTCTGTAGATAGTGAGCTTCTGTTAAATGTTTGATTGAACCAATTTTTAAACACTAGATAACATATCTTTATAAATTAGTACAATTTTTAAATGGTCATGCATGCTGCTTTAATAAAATTGCGGAAAATCTCTTTTGACAAAAATCTTCATTAAGTCGATCATTATATATTTATCTGCTTAATTTACATAATTGATCGATCACTTGTATACATATTAATGGCTGCATTATATTACTCCCCGTGGTCAATGTAATTGTATAAAATGATTTAAGGAAACGATTAAAAGTTTTAAAACCTTAAATTTAAATTAAATCTTAAACTTTTATTAAAAAAATAATATACAATAACTGCATTGACAGACGCTGCATGCACATACATACAGACATGCATCTATTGGTTTGTATAGATGCTTTAAATAAATTGAAACTTAAATTTCTATTGATAGTTGTTTTTATTTTGTTTTTATATCTATGTGTACTTAATTTCAAAACATTTTTAAAAGATTCTGGTTTACAAAATGATAATTTTCAGCTGAATACTTTAATATCTAAAGCACAAAATCATTATACATTTTATATTAATGTTATGAAATAGAACACTTTTTTTTTCTTTTATGGTGTTCATGGAAAACGTCACGCGGATGCTTCTGATAAGATTCTGCCACGTTAGAATAAATCTTTACAAAACGGTAATTACTTATCTGTAAAATGAAGAATTTATCGTAAAAAAAAGTTCAATTATAACACAGGTTATCATATATTATGTGATTTCCGCCGGAAAACCCATATGGGCGACCGTACACTCAAGTCGGGCAATCCTAGAGCGTCCCGCCGAGATTTTTTCATACCACACTTAAATGAAATGAAATTATATATAATTATGTATATAACTATGCATGTGAAACAATTTTCAAACATAGAAGTCTTAAAGCAGAAAGACATGGTGAAGATAATTGAGAAATATACTCAGAAATAAATTAAAAATCTTATTTCTTTTAAATTCATAGCATTGCAACGCTTTTTCAATTTTTGGTCATTTTTCACAATAAGAACACATATTTTGGAAAAACATAGTGAGCGAATGATTTTTGTGCACTAAGGTTGTTGGTATGGACCTAGATCAAATAAAATATTGATCTAAAAAACCTCAGTAAAGTCCCTTTAACATGTATCTCATTTTCATTCATTTCATGTCAACATTGACCATGCAGACGCCAATTAAAGCATGATAAAAAATTAAATACACATACAATTGGCTAGATTCACTTTTGCGCATACGTGAAGGGTACAGAAGTTGGTTCTTTTTATCCGTTCTTTCAAGCGGATTAAAACGGCACTTGTCGTTGCTTTGTACCTTTTCACAATCGGACGTTATTTCTCTAAACTCACTCTTACTCAAAAGGCCAATTTCGTTAGATTTTTACAATTAATTAAATGTATCAAATGCAAAATATGACCAAGCGGAATTGATATTGCGGTTAGATTAGGTCAATTCACACGGATATTTTCCACCATCGTGGTTAACTATTAAAATTCTTTTAATAAAAAGATACTGAAAAACATTTCTTGATCATTAGTTTCAAATTTAAATCGATTAAAGGGAGATCACTCTAAAGCTATAAAAATCTAATTTCACGGATCATCATAGATGAAAAAATGTCGTAAAATTAAAAGGTTGAGTACTATCATAAGGTAAATGGGGCAAAAAAAGCCAAAGAATGTCTTGCTTTAGCAACCTATTCATAACTTTTTGTCGAAGAATGACGGAAAAGCCCGAAAAGATTCGGCAGTATACTTTGGTCATTTATGATGGTAGAAAACTACTTGAAAGTGTGTCTAAATAGCATTTAAACATAATAAAACATTTTTTTTAAAACGTGTCTGCTTCAAAAGCTAAAATGGTAAAAAAAAAGTATTTTACCGAAGTTTAACGGAGGGGGGTAAAAAAACTGTATTGAATCCATTATTCAGCTTGATATAACATTATGCTAAAATCAATTCAATTTTTGAGAAAAAAATTTTCCATGTTAAATGAATATGTTAATATTTTTCACAATTCAAAGGGAAGGACATTTTAAATGTTTTATGCAAAGCATAGCTGTAGTCACGATTTTGTCACCAAATTACTAACCCGTTTTTAACGGGCCTAAGGATTCATCTTTATTTTTTTAATAATTACATTCTATAACTCCCGAGGCGTGCACATCGCGTAAAAAGGCACGCGGAAGGTCAGAGTCAGATTGGTTGACCTGTCGTGTGTAACTCGCATGGGTGGCGCTAACAAGAGCCGTTTTTGTCTGACATGATGACTTGGTATGGTCGTCTCCACTTAACCGTATTTGGTACAAAAACGAATATGGTACAAATGTACCATATTCGGTCGAATATGGTACAAATGTACCATATTCGGACCGAATATGGTACAATTTTCGACCGAATATGGTACAAAAATTGTACCATATTCGGTTGGAATAAGTTTTTCTATGCTCGCCAAAACGTATTTGGTACATACCAAAAAAACTCATAAAATGAAAATGGCCTACGTATATGGTACATAAATTATGTATTTCTTAATAAATGAAATAGTCTGCCGATGTGTAAACTTTTTTTCAAACTCAAATACATTGTATGAACCTAATATTGGAAGTGACAAAAGTATCATCATCATCATCATCATCATCATCGTCGTCGTCGTCGTCGTCGTCGTCGTCGTAACTAGCAGTAACAGAAACAGCTAACCTAACCACACTTTACATGGATTTTGCTGGTTGTGTAACTGACTAACTGTTTTGCCGGCTAGCTCAGTCGGTTGCGCGTCAGATTGGCACGCAGGCGGCCTGGGTTCGATTCCCGGGCGGGCCAGATACTTTCGTGGAGATTGGTCACGAAATGATTTCTACGGCCATTCTTCCCCTACCGCTGTTTCAAGTAGGGCAGTTGTCAATTACTGGCGAATGTATCTGCTTAGTACTGGTTACTAAGTACTAGTACTCTAAGACTAGAGACGTGCTTGCTCCAGGTAACTCTGTAAAAGTTTGAGGATTATCGCATTTTGGTTATGTTCATAGAGTGTGAACTTGTAAGGGTAAAGGTAGGCGAGCAAATCCATGAAGCGCGCCAGCGCTTCTTGGAAAATTTGATCGTTTAATACCCCTCGGTATTAATGCTTATATTTTAATACATTTTAATAATAATTGGTAGGTTTTATCCAGATATGATTGCTTTAAGCAAACGTCGTTGCAGGAATGTCGACGTCGCATTCGATTGGTCGAATGACGTCGCGTCAGCCATATTAATGCTTTCGTGCATTGTTTGGGTCAATCTAAAACTTCTGACAAGAAGATATTGCATGAGAAAATCCGAAAAATAAACAAGAAATTGGGCCGAAAAAATAACTATGATGATAATGGTGATGATGATGATGGTGTTGATGATGACCTTGATGATTGTGGTGATAATGATGGTGATGATGATGACAATGATGATAAAAGTTTGTGATGATGATGATGACGGTAATTTTGATCGTCGTCATCATCATCAAAACTTTTGTCATCATCATGACGATGATGATGATAATGGCGTTAATGGTGACGATGATGATGATGGTGTTAATGGTGACGATGATGATGTAATTGATGATGATGACAATGGTGATGATGATTGGGGTTTGATGATTGTGATGATGATAACTGCGATGTTTATCGGCCGATGATAATGATTATAATGATGATGATGAAAAAAGTTTTTTATTATGTTGACGCCAATGATTACCGGCCGCCGATGATGATGATTATGATGATGCTGATGATGATGCTGATGATGATGATGATGAGATGACGATGATGATTATTTTCATGATGGTATTGATGACGTTGATGCAAATTGTAGTTATGATGATGATGATGATGATGATGATGATGACGATGATGATGATGACGATGACGATGATGATGGTGATGATGATGATGATGATGATGATGATGAGATGACGATGATGATTATTTTCATGATGGTATTGATGACGTTGATGCAAATTGTAGTTATGATGATGATGATGATGATGGTGATGATGATGGTGATGATGATGATGATGATGATGATGATGATGATGGTGATGATGATGAGATAACGATGATGATGATGATGACGATGATGAGTGTGTACCATATTCGGAACGAATGTGGTACATTTTTCATCCGAATATGGTACAAGTTTGTACCATATTTGGTCAGGCATTTTACCCCAAAACTGCAGATACGTATATGGTACAATTAGACAGTTGTACCATATTCGGCCGAATATGGTACAAATTTGTACCATATTCGTTTTTGTACCAAATACGGTCCGACACACCACCTTACGAAGAAAGATGCTGCTAATGTGGGCTCGCCCTACGACCAGACCGGTACGTGCGCAGATAATCGTACTTATTATTTTTTTAACAGATGTACGAATCTGAAGTCCGGAAACAAGACATCCCCTGACACAAAGT